CCATATTCAATGCCTTCAGAAGTAATTTGGCCAAGTAAAGATGCGTTTAGGTGTCCAAAATTAACATTTTCAACGACCATAATTTACACTATAAGCTCTTTGTTCCAAAGTCAAACCGCCGAAGGATCAAAGTTCAAATTGCTGCGTCTTACACGCGTAAAAATTGATCAGGTTGTTCGGCGTTGTTCATTGAACAATGCCTGAACAATGTTGTCATCATGGCTGAACAACGTTGTTCAAGCAACAATCGTTAACAACATTGTTTCAACAACTTGTTCACGCTTGATGAACGAACAATGGTTGTTGCAACATGATGGAACAAGCGTCAACAAGGTTGATGAAACATGGTTGATAAATGTTGTCAGAACAATGTTGTTCAGCGTTGTTCATTCATCAGGCGTCAACAATATTGTTCGAACAAGCGTGAACAACATTGATGAAAAAACAAGTTGTTTTTAGTTGTTCGAACAACCGTGAACAGCATTGTTATAAATAGACGGTAAAATAATGATTTGAACAACACGAAAACTTGTTTTTATTGGTTGTTGCGAAGCGCTGGGATGCAAAACGGACGAATGCGACGAATATCACGAGAGCAAGAAATCAAACGGCCGAGCTTTTACAGCAAAATAAATGTCGTTTAAGCTGGGTTTTTTCTGAAGATTGAGGGGAAAATACTGAAGAAAATAACTTGGTAAGTGTCTTGTTTTGAGGTAAGGTTAGTTGCAAAAGCTTAAAACAACCCGATCTTTTGATTTTACTCATTTTCATAGTACACGAAGAAATGCACACGGACAAACTTAAAAGTACTTTTATATAAGCATTGCATTTTCATATTTTTCTCGATATTTTCAGTATACATGCAACAAGAAACCACGGTCATACTGTAATAAAAAGCCGTAATATAAACAAAACATTTAATTCTCAAAATATTGTTCAAATTTTTCCAATTACACTTTAAATTTCTGTCAGAGTCTTTTTAACTTTGAAATTTGAATATGTCAAAAAAGCTATCATATCATATGTCCTCTGCTCCTTCCGTCCCTATTGTTGTTTGTAATTTTGATCACTGCTATATATAGACAATTCCTATTGTGTTTTAACAAGGTCAACCAAATACTTGATCAGTTTACAGACCCAGAATGATGTATTTTAACTGCATATAATATGTGATGGATAAATTATAGGTAAGTAGGTAAGATACTAAGAGTGCAAAGAGTGCATACAGTTAAATAATTATCCATTTCCCAAAGTCCTGGGTCTAGTCGCACGAATCCCTTGTTTGGAGGGACAAGAAATATGGCAGCACACATGAATTAAATATTTAATGTAAAAAGGAGATATTTCAATTTTCGATCATGGAAAAAGTTTATATTTGATGGTAGATACTTCTACTCGTTCAATATTTGACGCCTGTCATCATATTTTTAATTTTGTCCCTCCAAACGATTCCAGAATTCACTGTGATCTCTTTTGCTGGACAGGCTAATTGTAGTTATTACCAGCCAGTCATATTTCCTTTCATTTCCTGTGTTAATTAAACAGGTGACTATGATTGTCATGGAAGGTATGAAGGAGGTAGCTATGATTTTTCACATGGCTATGGGGGATAATCATGATCATAATTATACTCAAATGTAATTATTATCTCATTCTTATCCTTTTTGTAGTGTAAAGTATAAAAATAAAGATCTATGAATATGTCAGATAAATTATATACAATGGGTGATCAATTGGTAAGTAATTTTTATACCTTTGTTGTGGTCTGTGTAGATTGAGGCTATTTTAGCAACAGCCATGCACTTAGACATAGCATGACCAGTCCATATGTGGACTGCCTATGTCCATTAAACATGATTGAATACCCAAATTAGATTCAAGATTATGATATGTCCCAGGCATGGATCCAAAAATGACCATGCATGTACTGAAGTTATATGGCATGACCCATGTAAAATATGGTGGGAAACATACAATATTGGGGCTGCATCCCACAATATTAAAACATTGCAAAGGTCCATTTTGTAACTTAATGGCATTATATATTTAATCTTAATTTATAGGGCCTGTGAGTTCATATCTGGAATAAAATAATGGCAGATCTATAGAAATATCACTGCCAAGGAGTGTCAAACAAGTTCAGGAGGACTGAAACTGGATGTTCTCAGGATGAAAAAGAAATTGTTGACTTTAATTGAATAATCATTATCATTAATGTAAGGTTAAAAATATTGAACTTTCAAAAGGATGCAGACAGAAAATTGAAAGTAGGGCCTGAATTTCAGGTTAAGTGATCCAGGAATGGGGTTGGCCCTCTGCAGGCTAAATCAATTGAGGGAGACCCTTTATTTCAAGTTAAATGATGATTTGAATAAGATGCCATTCAGGCAATAAGGACCTGGTTCGGTCCATATTTTAATTCAAATTATTAAGTACTCGATTTATCCATCAACAAAACCCAACATTAAAATTTCCATCGAGTGAGATGCAACAAAACCATCTATAGTTTATTAATTATGTTAATCTAATCCATCAATTGGCAATGAGCCTACTTTAGTATTTTATATACTCTCTCTAATTTGCCCATTATATTTATAAACTGACAGTTAATACCATTACTCTTTCACATATACTAATAAAATCATCTGGGCCCGGTTGTTCGAAGCCCGTGTAAGCCTTTGAACTACCGGCCCCAGATGATTTTATTAGTCTGTGAAAGATTAATTATTAACTGTCAGTTTATAAATATAATGGGCAAATATATGATTATGTACAAATTGCATGTATGGTTCATAAAATCTCTGTGATAGACTTGCTCCAACAGATTCAAATTCCATCCTGAAAATACCTAAATAATAATTATAGAGGTTGCAGTGTTGCACTACCTTTTGCTAAAATACTGCCATGGTTTACCAGTATTATGAACTCAAAAGTCAAAACACTAACACTATTTAGATTTATAAATAGTACTTAGTATTTTATAAACCTTAATGGCATATAAAATAGTTTATAGTTTTCTTACCTTTGTACTTTTACTGTAATTATCTCTTTAGTTTGTATTTGTTCACTAATCTGTATTTTCTTATTTCAAAATAAACTGAATTTCATATCAAGAAGCGAAGTTTGTCTGTTTGTGTTTAAAGGCACAGTTCAGCCTTCTGAGTGATGGTTTTTATGGCGCATTACAAGACTTTTAATTGAAAAAACTAACTAGGAAAATCAATTAAGCATAATTCAAAATCAGTGAACTCAATGTTAAAAAAACATTAGAAATGTTTAAAAATGTTAAAAACATTGAAATCACTGATGTTGAATTATGCTTAATTGACTTTCCTAACTAGTTTTTTCAATTAAAAGGCTTGTAATGCGCCTTAAAAACCATCATTCAAAAGGCTGAACTGTGCCTTTAAATCCCCCCCCCCTGGAAAATGGACACGAATAACAGCGTCGAAAACGATTGATATCAGGCTGTTTACATATTGATAAAACAAGACTGTTCGCAGTTGTTCACAATATAAAACATCATTGATATCAGGTTGATCTCAGTTGTTCCAACAACGTTGTTCAGGCCTTGTTCGTTCATCAGGCGTCAACAACATTGTTCGAACAAGCGTGAACAATATTGTTAACAAGCCTTGTTGACAGGGTGCAGCACAACATTGCTGCAACCTGTTCTGAACAATCGTGAACAAGTTGTTGACAACGTGCGACAACATGATGATTTTTACGCGTGTACCTAGAGTCACCTTCGCCCAGCGGCTACGCTCGTGTTCCAAGATCCGCCATGTAAAGTGTAGTGAAATGTATCTCACTAAAGCCTCTGCTGTGCCTCTGCGGAGGAGAGACCCAGAGTCCTCTATTAAGCTCTGGCTTATTATGGCAATTATTATGGTTTTACTTTTTATGAAAATGCTGAGATCCATGTGATTGCGATTCATACTACAATATGGAGTCTGAATAACAACAGAAACACCTGATCGGTTGAAATTATTGTGTGTATAAAAAATTATATAGAAACTATAACGATTAAAAATCGTAATATGCATGTGCATGCATGGTGCAATTTGTACTTAATTCAAGAATATTGCAAAAACAACTTCCTTATTTTGAGAAAGATAATCTGCATTGAGGAAATTAATCATTCCATCAATCAAGAATCGGTAAATTAATGTATATATTTTCAAGAGAAAACGTCTTATGAGTTATGTTGAAAAAACGAGGTTCGTTTTAATAAAGCATGCATGCAGTTAGAGGAAATAACTTATCATTTTAAGAAAACAGTTATATGTGGAATCATGGATAATAAAATAAATATAGTTGTTCAGTTTACAATCCATGGTGGAATTAACTATATTATATACGAAGTATATTTCTTCAGAAATAATTTTCTTATTTTAAGAAAACGGAATCTTAAATCAAGAAGTAATTTTTCTTGAGAAATAATTTTCTCATTTTAGGAAAACAATTTTCTTAATTAAATTAAGAATAATTTTTTTCTTAAGAAATGATTTTCTCATTTTGAGAAAACATTTTCTTAAATTAAGAAAAGAAGTTTTCTTAAGAAATAAGTTTCTCATTTTAAGAAAATATTTTCTTAAATTAAGAAAATAATTTTTCTTAAGAAATTGATTTTTATAGCATGAATGTCAGCACTAACATAGGGCGTAATTTTCTTAACCTTATCGACAAGCACTTTCCTTCGCACCACAAGCTGCATAAGATCTTTAACAGAAATACGGTAAAAGTAAGTTATAGCTGCATGAGCAATGTTAAGTCTATAATCACTAAGCACAATGCACATATAGCTAGGAAGAACAAGGCACAGGGCAAGGGCACTGTCAATTGCAGTTGTTCGAAAAACGAAACATGCCCACTTCAGAAACAATGCATGACTAAGGACATAGTATACAAAGCAACAGTCACAACAAGCAACCCTAACACGATCATGAATTATATTGGCATGACATCAACTACATTTAAAGAGCGTTTGGCTAACTATAACTATACTTTCGAGCATAAAGAGCACTCAAACAAAACTGAACTTTCGAAATATATTTGGACATTGAAAGATAGCAAGAAAGATTTTAATATCAATTGGCAAATTTTGAAACGCGCTATTTCGTATACGGGAGGATCAAAACGATGTAATTTATGTTTAGAAGAAAAATTTTGTATTTTGAAAGAAAACCAAAACTGTTTACTCAATAAAAGAATGGAAATTATATCAACGTGCAGACATAGGAAGAAATTTCGCGTAAACAACGCAAACAATACACTCCCACAACTCGATTAGGCATTTCCGCGTAAACAACGCAAACAATAGATGAATGCATGCTTTGTTCCACCCACACACACCCACATTCCGGTCAAAACACATATAAGCAGTCCCATTTTCGAAACTTGTCATACCGCCTGATGATTCTTTACTGATGAAACAGACTGTTGCGGAATATATATATATATATATATATATATATATATATATATATATATATATATATATATATATATATAGATATATATATATATATATATATATATATATAGATATATATA